GGAAAGTCCCGACTAGCCCAGATCCTCAGTGAGCCTCTCAATGATGTTGACCGCAAGGCCAAGGACCTTATGGACCACGAGCGCTACGGCACGAATGATGTTGTGGAGTTGTGGGAGCTGTGGAAGCCCCATGCGCGGCCTACCACGAGGACCACCCAAGGAATGGGCTTGCAGATGCTTGTGGGCCAATACACTCATGGTGGCCATTGTGGTGTTACCTTGGATACCGATCGCTACCCTTTGGCGACTACCTACTTGGTGAAGGCGTTCAAGGAGATCTCCGGGGAGAACGAGTTTACGTCTATTTTGGTGACAGAGGACACCGGAATGCAGATTCACCGAGATGTCCACAATCACGGTACCCGAGACAACATTCTACTTCCTCTACTACCATGTGAAAGGGGAGGCGGTGTGTGGGTCGAGTCGGAACCCATCAACTACGATGTCACCGATGAATGGAGACAGACCCCAAAGGGAGATTGGCGCCGAGGCAAGGTCCACCACCTGGCGACGGGGACAGCGATTCACATCAACCCCCGAATGTTCCACCAAACCGAGGATTGGGAAGGTCGACGACTGGTGATGACAGCTTATACGCCCCGAACCTCACGAATGAAGCAGCCAACCTACGACAAGCTCACGGAGTATGGTTTTTCCCCACCTCCTCTACCACCACAGGTTCCTGAGAATCTACAGCATGCGGTGCTCAAAATGATGGACCTGCAGGAAACCTCCAGGACCCCGGACGCGGTTATGTTCCAGATGAAAGAGAACCCTGAGGAGCGCCGGGAGAGGTCCATGGAGATCAGTCGGGAACTACAGCAACTGCAAGAAGATGTTCTAGGGCGTCTACAGGAACGACGTGAATGGTTGCGTGACTTCCTGGCTGAGGAGGAGATCCTGGCGGAGGAGTTCAACACCGTGGGATGTGTTATTAGGGAGGAAATCAAGGGGATCAACGAGGTGGTGAGAGACTTGATCAAGGAGGTGGACACCCAGATTGGGGAAGTGGAGTCTCGATGCCAAGATCTGTACCTCAAAGTGGCCAACGTGACCGATGACCAGAAAATTGGGGACATCGAGGACTATCTGCACAACCTCAAAAAGGATCTGGATGTTACCTTGGATGTTCCGCTAGACCAGGTGAAGGCGAACCTGGAAGAATGGATCGAGCCCATGAGCAAGGAGCTTGCGAACTTGGAGGCGAAGACGCATGCGATCGAGCCCAGGCACATGGGAGAAGCGAGAAAGCTAGTGAATGAGGGGTCGCTGATTCTCATTCCTGGCAAAGTTGTGTTTACGGTCAAGCCCCCAGCACCGGAAACGAAGACTGAGAAGAAGTCAAAGGGGGCGCGCTGGAAGCGCAAAGCGAGGATAGTGATCTGTGGCAACCTTGCCAACCAATCGCTGAATGGGCAAGACTTGTATGCGGCTGGCGCCTCTGTTGAGGCGCTCCGTCTGGCATTGGCCTTGGCGTCTGCCCTTGGTTGGGCCGCAGCCGCCACAGATGTTTCTGCGGCGTTCCTTCAGGCCGAGTGGCCGTCGGATCGTCCAACGTATGGAGTGATCCCCCCTCGGATCCTGGTGCAGGCGAACCTCGTTCCCGAGGACATCGTGTTTGTGGTCAAAAGGGCACTCTATGGATTGCGCGAAAGCCCGGCTTTATGGGCGAGCCACCGTACGAAGGTCTTGAAGGAGATCGTTGTACACAGCCCAGAGGGACGTTTGTGGTTGAGGCCGCTTGTGACCGATGGGGAACTGTGGTTGATTCTCTTTCTGCCCATTGGGGCACCGAGGCCACAGTTAAAGGGCCTCCTAGTGACCTACGTGGACGACCTCCTCTACCTGGCGAAGCGAGCGATTATTCTGTTGCTACATGGCAAGATCTCTTCTATATGGCCATGTTCAGACCTGGAGTTTTCGGACAAGGGCCTTCGCTACCTGGGAATGGAGCTACTTCAGGAGGAGGAAACGTTCACATTAGGACAGGCCGGCTACGTCACCAATTTGGTGAGGCTTCATGGTCTGGATCCGGAGGACAAGGCGATGCTCCCATGTCCAAAGGAGTGGATCCAAGACGACGAGCAGGAAGCGGAGATGGAGAACTACAGCGCTGATGAGCTTACCCGAGCTCAGAAGGTAACTGGAGAATGCCTTTGGCTTGCTTACCGAACGAGGCCAGATATCCTCTATGTCGTGAACTACATGGCCGCGATGACTGCAAAGAAACCAGTGAAGGTTTACAATGTGGGCCTGAAGGTGATTGCCTACCTGAACTCCACAATGAACCTCAAGCTGAAGGTCGAAGCAGTAGCAAAGCAGTCCACAGAGCCCACGCAGTCCACAGAGCCCACGCAGTCCACAGAGCCCACGCAGTCCACAGAGCCAACGCAGTCCACAGAGCCCACGCAGTCCACAGAGCCCACGCAGTCCACAGAGCCCACGCAGCACGAGGCAGGTTTCAGGGTCGAACTTTCGGGTTATAGCGACGCTTCCTTTGCACCGTATGGTACCAAGAGCTTTGGCTGCAGTATGGTCATGGTTGGTCGAACCCCAGTTTCCTGGAAAGCGGGAAAGCAACCCATGATCGCTATGTCTGTCTGCGAATCCGAGTTGATGGAAGGCTCTACATGTGCCTTGCTGCTGGAATCCACCCAAGCTATGCTGGAGGAGATCCTGCCAGGATGTGATGTTCCCACCTTGTATATCGACAACATGGCGGCAAACAATATCTTGAATGGCTCAGTTGGAAGCTGGAGGACGAGGCACCTGAGGATTCGCCATTCCTACGTGTTGAACAGAGTGGCAACCAACCAGTTGGCGGTTCGGCATTTAGCTGGAGAGGACCAACCCGCATATCTTCCTACGAAGATGCACAGCAAGGCAAGGCTTCTGCATCTACTTGGAGTTTGGAACATGGTGGGACTTCCTGGCCTGTCGGGCCAGCAGACACTCAAGTGCCTGAAACTGGGATGCTTGTTTCTGCTAATGTTGGCCGTCCAATCGTTGGCGGTGTTGGCAGAGAAGGAGCCCTTGCAAGTGACTGGCACCTTTGAGTTGTTGGTCTTACTCACGTTGACGTGTGTGTCGGCTGTGGCGTTATGGGAAGCCGGCAAGGCTGCTCACAAGTGGATCCTGGCCAGAGTCTTTGGGACTAAGAAGTCCAGGCGAATCCAGCGCCTACGTGAGTTGGCGAAGGCGGCGGCGGAGGCCGAGATAGAGAAGTGGATGGAGCGCGAAGAGCCGGTTACCAATGAGGAAGTCAAGAGGTCGCTTCGCGAGGTCCTGCGGGAGGAGAGATCCGGAACCTCGATGGCTTCATCTACATCCGCACCTATGACACCGGAGCGTATCGTTCAGGAACGCTCCAGTATATTTGGTGGAACAAGGCCAGCTACCCCGCCGATTCCAAGGCCAGCTACCCCGCCGATTCCAAGGTCTACTACCCCACCGATTCCGAGGCGAGTACCACTACCGACCACGCCTAGTGATGATGGCGGCCAGTTCGAGAGGGAACGAGTGATCGTAGACACGCTTCAGTTACTTACGGTGAAGCACCTCAGAGCTGGTTTAGAAATGGAAGGAATGCCTCTTTCTGGAGTGAAGGAGGATTTGATCAGACGCCTCAGTGGCGTACTTGGGGATGAGCCTCCACCTTCGAGTCGACCTACGACACGACAGCTGAAGTACATTTTGTACACCTGGCGACATCAGAGGTTGTCGGGACGTACAGAGTTAAGTTGGGCTACTGTGTCGAGCAGGACGGCTACATCGGAATGGCTTGCGAGGTGGAAGCACGGCTAAGGCAAGATACCATATGGATGAAGGTGTCAAAAAGCCGCGGGCTAATGACAAGGAGGAGTGAAGAAATCATCTTGCCAACGTTGACGCCACCTACCGCAGCCCTTGAGGCAATCGAAACTTTGCGTTGAGATCTTGAGTAAGCACAGTTCTCCTCATGTTGTACACCCGATGGGTTGAGTTCTGTGCGCACTGACTGTATAGGCTGATCGTTAACTTTGCAATCGGCAGATGTCAGACTACGTCGCGTGTGTGAAAACAGTGACCCTTGAATTCGAAGCCATGGCCCTTTCTGCATAAGTGGTGTTCCAACTTTGTCCTCAATGACCGATCAACCCGGAACCTACTTCAGACCTCAGGGTCTTGATGATCCACACATTACTATTGCTATGAATACTAATATTAGTAGTAATACCAATATTCATAATAATACTAATACTAATAATACTTACATTAATGCTAATATCGTTTAAATAGCAGCATTTTACAATCCTATTCCTTTAATAGCAGCTATTTTGAATCCAATTAGTTTAAAGGCAACTAATACAAATACTAAAATTAATACCAATACAATACTAAGAATGTAATAGATAATTGGAATATGATTATGTTAATAGCAGCTCGTACTAACACTAATATAAATACTACTAATACTACTATGAATACTAGTATTTAGACGACTACTAATATTAATACTAATACGAAAAATAGTAATACTATTTTTAATACAAAACTACTGTTCATAGCAGCTCTTTAAAGGTTCATTATTTTAATAGCAGCTAATACTAATACTCATATTAATACGAATACTAATTAGAATAATGGCAATTTAATTTTAAGATACTATTATTTTACTAGCAGCTACTAGTGCTAGCATTATGTTGATGTGACGGCGCCTGTAAGTTGCGCTTTGATGCACTCCGTAGTTGTAAGTCGAGGGTATGCACAGAAGCCCCTTGCACAAGGATGACACGCACCGACGTGGCTCAAGATCATGAAAAGGACGACTGAAGTGAGGCCTTTGTTGGCCGTTGGTAGGTCGTCGCTTTGTGGGTGTTCCGGGGGCGAGCATTGGGGATTCTTGGTTTGCGAGGTTCCCCTTAGGACTCGTTTCCTTCGGACTGAGCTGTGTGACTGTTCCTCCTTGGAGGGTTGCAGTCATAGACACTCTTAAGAGAAGACGTTCATCGCCCTCCGCCATGCCCTCTGCTGAACACAACCGTGGACCTGAGCGTCAACAGGTTATGATTGCCCAACCTACGAGTGCTACTTCGCCGAGTGTTGAGCAGCACGGAGCAAGGCTGGAAGGGGAAGTGAATGGACCTGACTATGCGAGGCCTCAGCTGCCTAATGGGGTTGAGAGGTCTACGAGGGCATCCAATTCACCGGCGGGGATAGACTCTCTGCCTTATTCCCCGACCGCCCTTCATGGCAGCAGGGAAGCAACGGCCTTTTTGGCAGAGGCCTGGCCAGCCCAACCGCAGACCGAAGGGTCAGGGCAAGGAGCGGCACGCAATATGGGTGATGTGCCAGCAGCGCTACGTTGGATGCATCGTCTGGGTGAGTTCTTCAGACAGCATACAGCGATGGAGACGCTGACTACGGTGACGAGACAGCAATTTGCGGCTCCCTCGGGAACCGGGTTCATGATGCAACATCAAGTTCAGCATTCGTCACCTACCACCCCGCACAATGAGCCTACCGGTGTTGGTGCTGAGATGTCTGCAGCGACCCTGGAAGGGAATCCGCCGTTGTTCGGACGGATGCGAGAAGGGCGATGGAGGCTTGGCCTTCGCAGGCTCCGCTGTTGCATGGGCTTCACCGAGCTGGACCGGCGACGGATGAACAGTCGTCGGACTCGATCCCCCGCGAGATGGTTGAGTCTGAGGTCCGTCGTCAAGTTCAGGATGCCCTTCGAGCACAGCAACAGGGCTTGGATGAGTTGAGAGAAGAGAATCGACGCCTGCGACAGCAGGTGAACCCACCGTCAGGGCTACAAGACCGTGATCCTCTTACAAGTCGTGGAGTACTTGGGGGTGATCGGGCTTATTCTACGCAAGGTGTACATGCGGATGCTCGGGCTCCTCTTACAAGTCCTGGAGTACTTGGGGGTGATCGGGCTTATGCTACGCAAGGTGTACCTGCGGATGCTCGGGCTCCTCTTACAAGTCCTGGAGTATTTGGGGGTGATCGGGCTTATGCTACGCAAGGTGTACCTGCGGATGCTCGGGCTCCTCTTACAAGTCATGGCGTACCTGGAGAGGATCGGGCTTATTCGAGTCAAGGTGTACCTGCGGATGCTCGGGCTTCTCTTGCAAGTCATGGCGTACCTGGAGGAGATCGGGCTTATTCGAATCAAGGTGTACCTGCGGATGCTCGGGCTCCTTTTGCAAGTCATGGAGTACTTGGGGGTGATCGGGCTTATTCTGCGGCCGAGCAACGTGGTGACAACCGCACAATCAGTGCTTCGGTGCCTGATGATGGTCGGGCTCCTCTTACAAGTCGTGGAGTACTTGGAGGTGATCGGGTCCCTTTCAGCTTTGAAGAGAAGCCGCAAGGTGGTCTGTTGTCGACGAAGCTGGTTGGCGATAGTGGCCCCGCAGTGTTTGAGCCGTATGTCCCGAGTGGTCCATGTCCTGAGCTACGGGGTGATCTCAGTGGTGTACGTCTGCCTCCAGGAGGTGAAGGAGGCGCCCAAGGCCGTGGAGCAGAAGGTCGTCGTACGTGGTTGGACAGGACCTCGAGGAGTGCTAGTCCGGAGCCACGAGGACGCGGTACCTCGTCCAGCCCGGGTCGGATGGGACGCAATGGACCAATGGCAGCCAATGTGCGAGGCCGTTTCCTTCGTCGCGGAGCTGGCGATCTTCTTCAGGGACTAAGTGATGGAGATCTATATGGGTTGGGGCCGTCGGAGGAGGCTTACAGAGCAAAGCCACCGGAGATAGAGGGCACCTTCGGAGACTACCTGGGAGATTACCCACCGGGCTTAGGTGGATCGACACAGGAGACCAGTCGAGCCGAAGGCTAAGGATCTACCTCAACCTCCGTCTGGACCTCAAGGTCGGGCAGCGCCCGAGGAAGCCACAGCACGCCAGGCCGCTCCGAGCCCATTGGACGTACTGATTACAGGCATGTCTCAGCTGCAACAAGTGCTGTTGAAGCAAAGGGGCGGTGATGCAATGGACTTGGAAGCGAAGGCCGTGGTGGAGCTGTCAAAGCTTCCAGAGTACACTCCGGAGTCTGGGGCAACGGATTTCCAGGACTACCTGTACCTCACGGAACAACAAGTGGGAAGTTTGGCATCGGGGGCCACAGATTGGTGGCAACGAACCCTACAGGTGGCTCAACGGGCCTACAGCGAGTACCAGACGCTTTCGCCAATGAAGCGCTTGAGCGTGAAGGCAGTGTTGCCAGATGACCTCAAGGAGGATCGCTACAAGAAGTTGGAGAGGAAGGTTGCATCCCTTCTTCTTAACTCCCTCCCGAAGGGAGTTAGGGATGAGCTCGTGGCCCATCGAGTTCAAGGGGTCCATCAGATCTTGTTCAGGTTGATGGTGGTCTTCCAACCAGGCGGTGCCCAAGACAGGGCGCAGTTGCTACGCCAGCTGGACGTCAGTGAGTCTAGCCCGGGCCCGGCAGAAGCGGTGTTGGCCATCAGAAAGTGGTACCGGCTATTGCAGAGGGCAGCGGACCTCAACATTGCCTTGCCGGACGAGTCGTTGCAGGTCCGGTCGCTGTCGAACATCGTGAAGCGCACCGCCGAGATCCACAGCGACTTCAAGTTCAGAGTGGCTTTGGCGAAGACGGAGCTGCAGATCGATTCGAGGCCGAGCCAGCAGAATGTCATGAAGTTTCTTCAGCATTTGCTTGCGGAGTTGGAACAGCTTGGGGCCGGCAATAAGAAATCACCGGCACCTGCCGCGACTACGGGGAATGCTGCTATGACGCCGTCGGCTGCTACTACGACAACTCCTCCGTCTCTGAAGGGTGTGCAGCCTACTGGGGACGCTGGTGGTGGTGGAAAGGGCAAGCAGAAGGGCGGGGCGCCGAGTGCAAAGCGCCCTTGTCAGTTCTTCAGCTCGGATCAAGGGTGTCGGAACGGAAAGCAATGTGGCTTTGTTCATTCGTGGACCGGCCTGAACCGAGGTGAAAGATGTTTATTGTGCGGGTCGAAGCACCACCGGGCCAAGGAGTGCAATGCTGGAAGCACCGCATCGCCGGAAAGAGCGGCGCCTCCGCCTCCGCCAAAGAGCTCGGGAGCCACATCTACTACCCCATCGGCAGCCTCACCCATTGCTCCGTCTCTGGCAAAGGCTACTTCGACGACCTCTACTACGACGGCTGCGCCTGCCCAGTCTGAGGCTGCAGGCTCTGGAGGTAACGGCAACAAAATAGATGCCACGAAAATGTCCGAAATCTTGACTGAGACCAATAAGATGTTGAAGGCCTTGGCAGCCCAGTCAAGTGAGTCGGCGACCGCGCCGGCAGACCCGCTTGCACTCATTCAACAACAGCTGGATGAAGTGCGGCGCCTGAAGACCATGAGGGTTCAGGAGCCGGGCCAAGGAGTGTGTTCGTTTAGCAGTGCCGTGGCCTGGTATGAAGCAATGCTACCTCCTTGGCTTCCAGTTCGGCGGCACCCCCTGAGGAGGAGGCTGAAGCCTTGTTGGACAGTGGAGCGAGCCACCCATTCCGACCTCCGAGAACTCAGGAGGAGCTGGACCGCGCACGGCGGGTGAACGTCTCTTTGGCAACTGGAGAAGGGGCGTTGTTGCCCCAAACGGCTGAGGGAACCCTCCTTGCCGAAGGTGAAGACAATGCCCCGATCATCCCGATGGGACAGCTAGTCCAACTTTTGGGATGTCAAATCAAGTGGACTCAGTCAAGGCTCACCGTGCATCATCCTGTACATGGACGTCTACAGGTGCGACTACGGGGGAATTGTCCGGTCTTGCCAGTGAGCCAGGCCCTGACCCTTATAGCGGAGCTGGAACAGGCACGGGTGAGGGAGTTTCAACATACTGTTGAAGGGCTTCAAGCACAGGTTCGTGTGCTGAGGGAGCAAGGAAGAGAGGAGTGGACCTGGCAGCGCCATCTCCGTGCTTTCTGTGAGGAGGGCAAAAGGACTTCTATGGCTGGGTTCCTGCATCGTTGCCCTACCTTCGCCAGTGTGCCCGCGGAGGCGCTGTTGGGGATTCCAGAGGATGTTCCGTGCGGTCTCCAAGATGGATGGAAGCTGTTAAAGGGAATGCCGTGGTCGAGAGCGAAGCGCAAGGCTATGTTCGCTAGCACCTCCTGGACGGTTCACTTGTTTTCTGGAAATGAGAAGGCAATGGCTGCCAAGTGTACTTCAACTATGAGATCGTCGTTCTGGAGCGTGGCCTTGGAAGGTGAAGAAGTGATGGTCAATGTCGATGTTACAGACAGTCGAGCCTTGGATCTTACTCGGCGAGATGGTGTTTTCAAGTTGCTGTGTTGGGCGGCCTTGTCAGGTCGCCTTAAAGCGATTGTTGGAGGCCCGCCGAGACAAAGCTTCCCGACTCCTGTGCGACCGGACGAAGGCCATCCGCAGTACCAGAAGGAGACACAGCTGATCACACGTATGATGATGTTGTGGTATATAGCTGAAGAGGGCCGGTGCAAGGCCTGGAGACAGGGAATGTTGCGAAGATCTGTGGTGAAGCCCCATGTTGGTTTCCTGTTGGAGCATCCTGATGGGGGAGGCCGTGATGATCGCCTGTCTCTCTTTGCTTCTCCTTTGTGGCGGGCTTTCTCTATGGATGCCCTGATGGGAGAGGTGGAGTGTGTGATGAATGGCACTCCAACGGTGCTGGGGGGCAACCTTGACCTCTGGCACTTACAAGGAGCGGAGCTTGGAGCAGCCCTTCCCGGTGATCCCACTGGTTCTATGTGGCCGTTGGAGCTGGTCGCGAATGTTGCCCATGCGTTACGATCATGGGTTGGGTTGAGACGGAGGGAAAGCTTGTTGTCTTCCTTGATGAAGAGGTCTTGGATGGGCTTTATGGAAGAGGCACATGATGAAGGTGACCCTCCTGATCCACAACAAGATGAACCAGGGGGTGAAGGTCCCAGGCTATGCCGCTTTGATATAGATGAATGGCGTCTCCATTTGCAACGGGACCATTTGCCGTATCGAAAGGACTGCAGGGTCTGTATCGAAAGATCCACTGGCAAACCGCACAGGAAGGTGAGCCATCCTACTGCTTATTCTCTATCGATAGATACGGCAGGTCCTTTTCGGTCCACGGGGCCGGCTGGTCACAAATACCTTCTTGTGGCCTGTTACCGATTTCCAAGGCTGCCGGGCACCATGGTGGAAGCAGAGACGGCCGAGGTGAAGGAGGATGACAAAGTGGTCTCTGGTCCGGCTGAAGGAGAAGATTGGCTGTTTGAAAATGGTGATCCTTCCGAAGTTTGTGACAGGCCAGATGCGCCTCGAGCAGATCCCCTGCCCATGGATCCAGAAGCACCCAGGGTTGAAAAGGATGCTGAGGTAGAGGGCCTGAAGAGGCTCGCAGAACCTATGGAGTTTTCTTCAGTTTACATCGTCCGACCCATGAAGGCCCGGAAGAGTGCGGATACCTTGAAGGCGGTGCAGGAGACCTACATCCAGCTAAGGTCGTGCGGCCTACCAGTACACAAGCTACACGCCGACCGCGCCCGGGAGTACACCACCAAGTCCTTGGAACAGTGGGCAGCTAGTCGGGACATCGATCTTTCAACCACTCAGGGTGATGATCCCTCGCAAAATGGGACTGCTGAGAGAGCTGTTCGTTTTCTCAAAATGCGGATGCGCATATTGCTGCAGCAGGCCAAGGATTTGAGCGGGCTGCCTACTGAGGTTGTCGCTTCCTTGTGGCCGTATGCAGCGGAGACCGCATCGGCTCAGCAACAGGCTGAGGTATGGGGTCAGCCTTCTCCGTCGGTTGCTCGCTTTGGTTCGAAGGTCTTCACGAGACGGAAGGGTTATGGCCAAGGAGGCAGGACTGATCTCCTGCCGAAATGGGTTGAGGGCATATATCTTGGCCCTGTGCGATCGGTTCCTGGAGGTCACTTGGTGTTGACGGATGAAGGGAACTTGTGGTTCACCACCAATATTCGACAGTTCAGGGATCCACCCGCGGCAGACGGAGGTTCAGAAGCAGATGCCGAACTTCCTCTCCACCCTCCCCTTCGGCGAGTGCGCAGGAAGAGTTCTATTGTGGATCTGGCTGGTGGGATCGGTCTTCTTCCAGTTCCTGATAAGGAAGGTGTCGTCACTGGGAACGAGAAGGCTGGAGTGAAGGCTCTGGCCATGTTGGCCAAGGCCGATGTGGAGCCCTCATCGGAGGATATTGTCTCAGATGGGATGTCTGTGGGTAACGAAGAAGGGCTTGAGAGTTCGACCTCCAAGGGGTCCTGTCGTCCCAGTGATGAACCCGTTGCTGAGCGATATCTACGTGAAGGCCGTTTTTCCATGGAGGATTGTTTGGCAGTGTTAGAAAGCGAGCGGTTCCGGAAGACAAAGAAGCAAAGGGCCGCCGCATGGCAGGCCAATGATCCGCCTTCCATTCATACTACATTGGGGGCGTATCAGCGAGGACCCTGGACCGGAGTGACTACGGCAACGGCAAGACATGGAGGTTTGGCGTCCTACTTGGCTGCGATGCTGAAGTACCATGAAGGGAAGGAGGCAGTGTTTTCCTCCATAACGGTTGCCAAGGACCTCAACACCGATGCCCACAAGGACCGGTTCAACATGAGGGGTTCGCGCAACTATGTCCTTACTCTCGGGAACTTCGAGAATGGAGGTATTTGGCAGGAAGGAACCAAGGACGGCTATCCTACGGTGTCCATGGAGTTGGGTTCTGGTGAGCACCGAGTGGGTTATGTCGAGCCGGTCCGCAACAAGATTGTTCAAGTCGACCCTAAAAGGTTGCACAAGACGATGCCTTGGTCTGGAGGACCAAAGTGGACTGTCATTGCCCACACTGTTGGTCAATGTAGAAAGCTCGAGGATGAGACCAGGAAAGGGCTGGAGAGCCTAGGGTTCGTACTTCCTCCTCGACCCCCGGTCTGTGAGCTGAAGGCCGTTCGATGTGACGAAGTTTCCGGCCCAACGACAGTTGCGAATGGTCCCTGCTGGTTTCCTGATGACGTTGAGAGTGAAATGTGGACTCGGATGTGGTCAAGAAGGGTATTGGATGAGGAGGAGCTGTTGGCTTCAGTTTGTCCCCAGTCCCTGGCCGAAGAGTTTGAAGGTGTAGCGGATGCTGTGAACGATGCCGGCAAGTCGCTTGAGGTTCGGGAGTCCGTGAACCTGCCTGACCGCCCAGGAGTAGAACGGTGGATGTCGCTGTGCCGGATGACCGAGGGAACAGATGAGGTACATGGAGTTGAACCTCTGCTGGAGACATTGTCTGGACCCCTGAAGGTTGTCTACACCGTTGCCTTGGATGAGGTCAAGCAGTTCATTCCAAGATGGGCGGAGGCAATTGTTAAGGAGGCCGACGCGTTGATCAAGGCGAAGGCTTTGGTTCCCCTAACGCTTGAGGAGCAGCGGGCTTTGGAACGGTCTGGAAAGCTAATCGTCCTCCCAGCGAAAGGGGTTTTTACCGTGAAGCCTCCAGATGGAGAAGTACTACCGGGCGGTGACGATCAACCTCTACCTCCTGGGGACCCCTCTTTCTATAAAAGAAAGGCGAGACTGGTTATCTGCGGAAACTTCCAGGGGAAACAGTCTATAGAAGAGTCCTACGCAGGTGGCTGTCAGACGGATAGCCTGCGAGTGATGTTGGTCCACTGCGCTGCATTGGGATGGTGTTTGGCCTCAACTGACATTCGCAATGCCTTCATCCTGGCCCCGATTAAGGAAGAAGATGATGAGGAGGAGGCCGTGTACGCCCTCTACCCCCCGAAGGTTTTCCGGTTGGCAAAGGTGCAGTATGCCATGCAGCTATGGAGGGTAGACAGAGCCCTCTACGGCTTCCGCCGTTCTCCTCGCCTTTGGGGACGGTTCCGTGACAAGAGGTTTCGCAGTGCTAAGATCCCCTATGGCGATGGATACATCTACTTGAAGCAGCACAGAGCTGATGAGAATATTTGGTCGGTTTGTGTGGTTGCTGCAGATGGATCTACTACTGTTCGAGCCTATGTCAATGTGTACGTTGACGATATCCTGTATGTGGGGGAGCAGGACGTCATCAAGGAGCTTCACAAGTGGCTGACCAGTGAATGGAAGGCATCCGAGCTGACTTGGGCGTCTGAAGAAACAACTATCAGGTTTTTGGGTTTGGAGATCAGTCGCAGCAGCCATGGGTCTGTGAAGATCCACCAGCGGGGCTACATTGAGGAGCTCTTGAGGCATCATGGCCTCTCAGAGACACGGGGTCATTTGACCCCGTGCCCGCAGGAGTGGCTCCTAGGTGAAGCCGAATGTCCACAGGAGGAGTACTCTCCCGAGCAGCTACGCCTGGCGCAGGCTCTCACCGGAGAGCTTCTTTGGTTGAGCGGGAAGTCAAGACCAGACCTCATGCACACGGTATCTACTATGTCTTCTTGGTGTTTGAAGAATCCAATTTTGGTAGAGCGCATCGGGCTACGTGCTCTCGGTTACTTGAAGGCCACGATCGACCTTAATCTTGAGTATAACCCGGAGCGCAAGGACCACTACGTTGAAGCGTTCTCGGATGCCTCCTTCGCACCGCATGGGAGCCGCAGTGTTGGATGCAGTCTCACGAGGTACCTCCAGCAGCCTGTTGCCTGGCGCTCGGGGCGCCAAGCTTTGGTGTCTTTGTCGGTTGCGGAAGCAGAACTCATTGAGACCATCAACACCACACAGATGGCCTATGGCATCTCGGCGATTACCGAGGAACTCCACCATGTGCCGGCGGAGATAGTTGTGAAGGTGGACAACTCAGCTGCTGTTGGCCTTAGCAATGAGGCCGGTGGCAGCTGGAAGACGAGGCACTTGAAAGTGCGGGCCTACCACCTACGGGAAGCAGTTCGCCTACGTGAACTACGAATCGAGCACATCGCAGGCAAGCTTCAGCTTGGTGACTTGGGAACGAAGGCGTTTAATCGCCCCCGTTTAGTCGAACTACTCAACCTCTGGGGCTTGAGGTCTGAGAGGGGAGTCGCGAACGAGGATGCGGGCCAGGCAAGCGTCCCAGTCAAGCTCAATGGAACTTTGGCCGTCCTTGCGAAGCTCGTTGTGCTTATGGGATGGATGGTTCAAGGGTCGAGAGCTTCGACTACGGAGTCGGAGCAAAGAGGCATTGAAGTCAGCATGCCGTGGGAACTTTATGGCCTTATCCTCCTCGGTTTGGTTGCTGCCATTGGTGTTTGGGAGGCGATCAAGTGGTTCTTTGAGTGGATCTCTTTGAGAAGAAGTGGCTCTGTTGAGGAATCTCGGGGAGCTAGGCGGCTTCGTCGATTACAGCAAGCTGTACAGGAGGAGGTGGCGCGTTATGGACTGGATGATCCAGTTCACGACCGGAGCGCACCGGCGACTCCTTTGGCTACGTCGTCGAGGGCGACCCCTCAGTCTTCGCCGGTGCCGGCGAGATCGCGTTCAGGAACTACCACGGCCTCCATCGCAGTGCAGACGGATGTGCAGCCGGACGGATATGTGCAGTTCCAAGGTCCTTTCGTGATGAGTGAGCATGGTGACCGAGTGCATCACGATGCGGCGTGTCATGGCCTACGTAACGCCGCGACTCGACGGCGTCAAATGACATTATGCCAGTATTGTCAAAGGCGCCAACAATTGTTTTCGTATGTGGGCTAGGGTGAGGAAATCTCCCGCAGCCCAAGGAGGAGTGTTGATGTGACGGCGCCTGTAAGTTGCGCTTTGATGCACTCCGTAGTTGTAAGTCGAGGGTATGCACAGAAGCCCCTTGCACAAGGATGACACGCACCGACGTGGCTCAAGATCATGAAAAGGACGACTGAAGTGAGGCCTTTGTTGGCCGTTGGTAGGTCGTCGCTTTGTGGGTGTTCCGGGGGCGAGCATTGGGGATTCTTGGTTTGCGAGGTTCCCCTTAGGACTCGTTTCCTTCGGACTGAGCTGTGTGATTGTTCCTCCTTGGAGGGTTGCAGTCATAGACACTCTTAAGAGAAGACGTTCATCGCCCTCCGCCATGCCCTCTGCTGAACACAACCGTGGACCTGAGCGTCAACACATTAATATCAATCTTATTACTACTATGAATACCAAAATTCATACTAATATCAATGGTAATACTAATATTGATATTAATACGAATAATAGTAATAGTAATATTCATACTAATAATTTCAAGTGACAGCACTTCACAATTCTATTACTTTGGATGGCAGCTCAACAAATACAAACCCGTTATGTTAATAGCAGCTAATACTAGTGTTACTTCTAATATTGGTTCAACTAATAGCGATTCCAAATACTATTGTTTTAATCGCAGCCAAGACTAGAACTAGCACTAACAAGAAAAATGCTGGGGAGGCCCGCGGCCGCATGGAGGAATTAGGCCCCGAAAGCCGTCCTCGTCGCAGGTCCTCTTGGCTGACCAGTTAGCAAGAAGCGAAGGAGAAGGTGAAGGCTTTGAAAAAGCAAGAACGTGCCGCGCTACGCCGCAAAAGCAGGCTGGTGAAGGCGGCACGTTTCTAACTGAAAGCCACGTGGCAAAAACGCATGCTGTTCAAATGCTTGGGCTACCTAATGTGCAACCTGTTCGTCGTAGACCTGGTGCTTAAACCCTGGTTTCAATCCGAGCTTGCCACCCACGAATTGAAATCTTTGCAGCAGGCGGCTAAGCAGCTGTCCGTTGCTGATCTGAACGAGCTTGCACGTGTGAAAGCAGAGCTGGCGGAGCAGCAGGAGGGCTGAAAGTGCAGCGTTTTTTTCCTTTGTGTCGTAAGACAGCCAGAAAGGGCTGTCGTATGGCAGATGTCTAAGAAGAGCCGATCACGAATTGGCACCACAAAAGGCTTTAGGTTTTCGACTTTGTGTGTAAGACAGCCAGAGAGCGCTGTCGCATGGCATGATGTCTCGAATGGGCACCGCAAAAGGCTTTCCAGGCAAGCAGTGACCCGTTTCAGGACGTCAGTCTTGTTGTCTTAGACAAAGGTACGACCTTGGCGTGCTCAACCTTCAAGGCGGACTTGCGGACGCAGGCCACCCATATCGCGCCGTAACGTTGTTGCAGCTGTGGTCGTATCGCCGCTGAGACGTTTTGACTTTCAGGGATTGGTTCGTGTTTAACCCAACAGACGACCGCCAGTGAAAGTATCAGACGTGGTTTTGGTTGACTTGGAACCACGTGACAAACAACAGATGTGGAACGGATGGTCTCGGGCGGTTTAGACTAAAAAACGCGGATTGCTGTTATCCTAAACCCTCCTGCAGGGCCGCTGAGACGTTTTGACTTGCTTCAGACGCCTCCGAATCCTGTGTTTTTCGCATTCTGGCAGCTATGTGTGCTGGAAACTTCGAGGTTGGAGGGTTTCCGTCCCCAAATCGTTGTATTTGTTGCATTCTGACAGCGATGTGTGCTGGAAACTGTTATGAAACGAAGAATTCCGCCCCCAAGTCGTGGTATTTGCAGCATTATGGCATCTGTGTGTGCTGGAAACAACCGTGAAACGAGGATTTCCGCCCCCAAGTCGTGGTATTTGCAGCACTTTGGCAGCCTCCCATGCCTAAAACTGTGGAAAAACGCACATCCCAAAATAGATTGCGAAACGGGATGTGAGTTACTTACCGTCTTTTCTTTTAATCTCAACCTTTTCTGTATTTCTTTTCAGAGAAAGCACCTAAAGTAACTCACCTTCCGTTTCGGAGGCGGCCGAGGTACTGTAAATACCATGTCTCAGGTGCGGAAATGTATGTTTTTCCATAGTTTTGGGCATGGGAAGCTGCCAAAGTATTGTAAATACCATGTCTCAGGGGCGGAAATGCGCGTTATTCTACAGTTTTAAGCATGGGAGGTTGCCGAAGTATTGTAAATACCGTGTCTCAGGGGCGGAAAGCTTGGTTTCACTGTAGTTTGACTACAGGTGGGTGACTTGGAACGATCTGCTCAACTTAGTGGATAATGAAGCTTTCCTTGTGGCCATGCCCAAGGGGGGCGATCTGGGTGCCGATTATTTGTGGAATGCTGGAGGCACCGAGTCCGTCTGCATGGTCTTGACGTCCAATGAGCCGACGATTTTCTGCAACAGTGGCTCGGTTAACCATGTTGAAACCGAGGCTTGGAATCAGCGCTTCCAGACTTGGCATTTCGCGAAATCAATCCCTGCCGACAAGCAAGATCGCCGCTTCAAGCAATGGGGCCAGTGCGTGCATTGCTACAGTCGCTGGCTGTTGGGCAGAGGCCAGAAGCGCCCACTCCCTCGCGAGGAGTCTGATGGAGAGGGAGAGATACTCGTATCACCGAACGAGTAGACATTCTCAAGACATTCGCAATCGAGGCTTCTGCTTGCTCGACAAAATTACGTGAAGTGCACACTTCCCGTTGTGAGTCCAAGGGTTAAAGTCGCATCGCGTTGTATGTGGTCGTAACATGCATGTCGTTACTTGCAACCCACCTTGGGCCGAAACATGGAAGTTCAATGTTGCTGATATGACTAAGCGGGTGATGACTACCGCTGCACCCCCCTGACCCCCCGAAGGCAAAGTTATGCAACCACCGCATCCATGCAACGAGCTTCGAGCAACATGGACTTTCAGGGGTTCCAGGGGAGTCTTGGAGAATTGCTGACTGTCAGGGGTTCCAGGAGAGTCTTGGAGAATTGCTGAAAGTGGTGGTCAAAGCTTTTGCAAGTGTGTTGCGAGTGCGTGTCGATGTTAGTGACGTTGCAGATATTTTGGGCTAGAGCTTGGAGGGCATGAAACTACCCAGCAGCATACAGAGTTTGATTGTCTGTGCTTGGGAAGCATAGCTGCCCAGCAGCCTGCAGAGTTGACGTTTGGTAGCCTTCAGGCACACTCCATTCCCATCCAGTCGCGATGGCCTCAGGTGTTGGCGCAAGTGATTTCGTCTCCAGTGCTCTAAACTGCCAAGCAGCCTGCAGAGTTTGATTGTCTGTGCCTGGAGGGCACAATTGCCTAGCAGCCTGCAGAGTTGACGTTTTGAGAAGGTGTGTAACAAAGTTTCTTCAGGTCGGCACACTCCAATTCTCATCCAGTTGCGATGGCCTCAGAAGGTGTTGGCGCAAGTGCTCTTAAACTGCCAAGCAGCCTGCAGAGCTTGACTGTCTGTGCCTGGAGGGCATAACTGCCTAGAAGCCTGCAGAATTGACGTTTTGAGAAGGTGTGTAACAAAGTTTCTTCAGGTCGACACACTCCAATTCTCATCCAGTTGCGATGGCCTCAGAAGGTGTTGGCGCAAGTGCTCTAAACTGCCAAGCAGCCTGCAGAGCTTGACTGTCTGTGCCTGGAGGGCATAACTGCCTAGCAGCCTGCAGAGTTGACGCTTTGAGAAGGTGTGTAACAAAGTTTCTTCAGGTCGGCACACTCCAATTCTCATCCAGTTGCGATGGCCTCAGAAGGTGTTGGCGCAAGTGCTCTAAACTGCCAAGCAGCCTGCAGAGCTTGACTGTCAGTGCCTGAAGGGCATAACTGCCTAGCAGCCTGCAAAGTTGACGTTTTGAGAAGGTGTGTAACAAAGTTTCTTCAGGTCGGCACACTCCAATTCTCATCCAGTTGCGATGGCCTCAGAAGGTGTTGGCGCAAGTGCTCTAAACTGCCAAGCAGCCTGCAGAGCTTGACTGTCAGTGCCTGGAGGGCATAACTGCCTAGCAGCCTGCAGAGTTGACGTTTTGAGAAGGTGTGTAACAAAGTTTCTTCAGGTCGGCACACTCCAATTCTCATCCAGTTGCGATGGCCTCAGAAGGTGTTGGCGCAAGTGCTCTAAACTGCCAAGCAGCCTGCAGAGCTTGACTGTCTGTGCCTGGAGGGCATAACTGCCTAGCAGCCTGCAGAATTGACGTTTGGTAGCTTGGAGAAGGTGTTGCCGCAAGTGATTTCTGTTTCCAGTGCTCTGAATGTTGACGTGATGATTTCCAATCCAGCGCGGTAAACAGCAGAAGTTATTGTCATTGTGACTCTTTTCGGTCTTCAGGTCGCCACACGTCATCCAATCGCGATGGCCCCAGAAAGTGTTGGCGCAAGTGATCTCTGTCCTCGAGTGCTCTGAAACTACCCAGCAGCCTGCAGCGATTGATTGCCTGTGCCTGGAGGGCATGCAGCTGCCCAGCAGTCAGTGTGTGAGTGGGTGAGTGCGTGAGTGAGTGAGTGACTGAGTGCGTTAAGTGACTGAGTACGTGATAGAGTGAGTGAGTGAGTGAGTGAGGGATTGAGTGAGTGGGTGAGTCAAAAGAAGCCAAGAAAAAGACGATTTTGTCCGAAAGGCTTTACAGACAATTTTCCAAATGCAGTGGTACGGAATGTGCGGCTTTTGAACCGTGGCTTATGAAATGCATAAATGCTGTGAAACAACAAAACACTGGAAGAAATAGCCAAAAAGAAGAAGATTTTGGCCGAAAGGCTTTACGGACAATTTTCCAAATGCAGTGGTACGGAATGTGCGGCTTTTGAATCGTGGCTTATGAAATGCATAAATGCTGTGAAACAACTGCAAAACACTGGAAGAAATAGCCACAAAGAAGAAGATTTTGGCCGAAAGGCTTTACAGACAATTTTCCAAATGCAGCGGTACGGAATGTGCGGCTTTTGAATCGTGGCTTATGAAATGCACAAATGCTGTGAAACACTTGCCAAACACTGGAAGAAATAGCCACAAAGAAGAAGATTTTGGCCGAAAGGCTTTAGAGACAATTTTCCAAATGCAGTGGTACGGAATGTGCGGCTTTTGAATCGTGGCTTATGAAATGCAAAACTGCTGTGAAACAACTGCAAAACACTGGAAGAAATAGCCACAAAGAAGAAGATTTTGGCCGAAAGGCTTTACAGACAGTTTTCCAAATGCAGCGGTACGGAATGTGCGGCTTTTGAACCGTGGCCTATGAAATGCACAAATGCTGTGAAGCACTTGCAAACACTGGAAGAAATGCAAAAAAAAGGAAAGATTTTGTTCGAAGCGCTTTAAAGACAATTTTCCAAATGCAGTGCTACGGACTGTGCGGCTTTTGAATCGTGGCTTATGAAATGCACAAATGCTGTGAAACACTTGCCTCACACCAGAAGAACAAAGCCAAAATTTCGCGGGAAGGCTTTGAGGTCAATTTGCGGCATGCTGGTGTGGGGAATGCGCGGAACCTGCGGCTTTTTGCATGGTGGCCTTGCAATGACAAACTGCTGTGCAAAAAGTGGTGCTAAACACACGAAGCAACGAAGCAGAAATGTTCGAAATAACGAAAAGAATACGTCCGACAGGCTTTGACGACAATTTTCCGAAGACAGGGGTAGGGAATGTTCGGCTGAGTGAGTGAATGGGTGAGTGAGTCAGTGAGTGAGTGAGAGTTTGAGTGAGTGAGTGAGTCAGTGAGTGAGTGAGTGAGCCAGTCAGTGAGTGAGTGAGTGAGTGAGCCAGTGAGTGAGTGACTGAATGAGTGATCGAAACACGGGAGAAACGGAAAACTTGAGCGTCTTCAAAGAGAGCTCGACGTTTCTCAGGTCATGCAACCAGTCCACCATGGCCAGTGCCCGCAGATTTGAAGCATGAAACTGCAGCCTGCAGAGACGTCTGATTGCTTGTGTTCGACGTTGGCGGGGTCGTGCATGCATCGAAGTTGGTTTAAGTTTGCCACATTCTGTCCGCTGGTTTCAGCCTCACCGGTTGCTGCAGCTTGGAACGGCCAGCATGCCGCCAAAAGGGAACAGAAAAGCTAAAGAGGCACGGTTTCGTTGCTTGCACAAAAGCGAGGTAGGAGGGTCTGGTTTTTGGCACCTGGAAATATGTCCGTTCCGGACGCGTTGGGAAGGGCCTCTCCTGTAATATTACTATGAATACTAATACTCACATTAATATCAATATTAATAAGCAAAATAATAGCAATACTAGGACTAATACGAATACTAATACTAATACGAATATTATTTCAATAGCAGCTATTTCAAACTTATTAATTTTAATCGCAGCTATTTAGAATCCTATTATTTCAATAGCACTAATACTTATACTAATACGAATACTCGTTATAATAATAGCTATTTAAAAAACTGGTTTTTTCATAGCAGTTACTAATGCTAGTATTGATATTAATATTAATACTACGATGAATACTAACATTAATGTTAGCATCCTATTATTTCAATAGCCACTAATACTTAGGCTAATACGAATACTAATTGCAATAATAGCTATTGAAAATACTGTTATTTTCATAGCAGCTACTAGTGCTAGTATAAATAATAATACTAGTACTACTATGAAGACTAACATTAACACTAATACTAATGGTATTACTAATATTAATATTGATACCAATGATAGTCATACAAATATTCATACGAATATTTTTCAAATAACAGCTACTTATAATCCTAGTACTTCGAATGGCAGCTCTTTGAAAACCAACCCATTATGTTAATAGCAGCTAATAGCTATTTCAAACACTAGTATTGTAATAGCAGCTAATCCTAATACTATTTCCATTATTAATACTAATGCTGCTATGAGTACTAATATCAATATTAAGAACAATACTAATATTAATACTAATACTAATTCGAATATTATCTTATCTTAATAGCAGCCATGTCAAAACCCATTACTTTTAATAGCAGCTATTTAGGATCGTACTATTTAAATAGCAGCCAATACCAATAACAACACTAATACTAACACTAATCCTAATGCTGACACCACTACTAACATTAATATTAATAGTAATGCTTAAGTAGCTTTCTGGCGCCACCATTGGTTTTACTGAAACTTTCCTTACAGCTGTATTTTTCCAAATACTCTTATGGCAAATTTTTGCGCCCAGGACGTCTAGATAACGTCTCTAGGGACATCGCACGGAAAGGCTCCTAAAAAATCAACCCTTCCCCGCAACTGTAAAACCCCTACTCTCTAGCTCCATTTCGATGGGCACTTTGCATAACGCCCCCCACTCCCCAGACCACCCACGGCGGATCATGGGGGGGGGCCGAGCATATATATATATATATATATATATATATATTTGTACGTATATACACACATAGGCGTGGGTACATTGGGGGGGTTACCATATATATGATCCCGGTTCTCGGTTCGTCAACCCCCCCCAAGTCAGATCGGGAGCAGAACTGTATAACATCTGATGTGGCAAAAGTCCCAAAGGGTCCTCGGTATTGTTATGGGGGAGGGGATACTTCCCGAAATCATAATAGTAAATCCTAACTTAGAAGCCCTAGCATACAGAAATACCAAAATCCGGCCCAGAGCCTCGAACCTTGCAATATCCGGGCCTGCAAAAGTTGGAAGTTGGGTTTGG